GAGAGAGAGAGAGAGAGAGAATGACCAGAACATGGTTTGGTTTGGCTCGGCTTGGCCCCAGTATGTGGCCGGAGTAGCTCAGCAGGGTTGCTAGCTGCCAACCAAAGGACAAGGCCCTTAGGATTTGCAAAAGCCACCCACCCTTTCAAAACCCTGCTTTTTCCTGCAAGCAGCCCAGACAGCTGAAACCAACATTCCTAAGCCTGTGTCTGTGTCTTTGCTCTTCAAAGCTGGAATTGGCTTCGCCCTCCTAGCGGGGGCGTCTGTAAAAATCGAGGGGCTCGGAGGGGGAGGGGAGGGAAAGAGGGAGGGTCTGTTTGTCTTTCCTTGAAACAGGGGAGAAAATGGAAGTAATCCCCCACCCACCCCTTTAGCATCATCTGGGGCGCCAAGGGGAAAAGAGAGAAAGAGAGGAAGGAAGGAAGGAAGGAAAGAAGGAAGGAAGAAAAAAAGAAAGAAAGAAGGAAGGAAGGAAGGAAGGAAGGAAGGAAGGAAGGAAGGAAGGAAGGAAGGAAAGAAGGAAGAAGGAAGGAAGGAAAGAAGGAAGGAAGGATAAATGAGTCAACCTTACCTGTTTTTCTTCTATGGGAGACAAACGCAGACGGGCAGCGCCAGAGGATGGGAGAGGACAGGAGGGGGGGGAAGGGGGAAAAAAAGCCAAAATTAGAAGAAGAAGAAAAAAAAGGCCCCTCCCGAGACTCAACGCCCCCTCCCCAAAAAAGGCAGGCAGGTTTTAAAAGCGTGCCTTATTCTCCTCCCCCCCCCACCGACCCCAATAAAAGCTCACCTGGATTGACCAGCTTGCTCTTGTACCGCAGGGCTGTGCTCATCTCGGAGACCCTCGCCCCCTCCCCAAAGAGGGTGTGGGGCTTCCTGGGCTTGCAATCCGAGCCGGGCCCCCCCCCACCCGCTTTCCCGGCAGCGAGCCTTGGCCCCGCCGCCCTCCGAGCTTTGCAGACGCGGCTCCGCTTACTCCGGCGGAGGCTGCTGCAGCGGAGAAGCGGAGCTCCAAGGAGAGGAAAAAAAAAAAAGGGGGGGGGTGTATTAGAAAAAGGAGGAGGAGCCAAAGGCGGCCTGGCCCCGCCCAACGGCTCGCCGACAGCCAATCCCAACCCAGCCCCGAGCCGGCCGATCTGTTTCTTCCCCCCCCCCCCCCCTTTCATCTTTTTCTCAGCTCCCGAAGGATGAAAACTGCGGAGGGGAGAGCGAGGCGCGCGCCCTGGTTCTTTTTTTCCCCCCACCCAACCCCATCTTCGCGCTGCATCGAGGTCATTCCAGGCGCTAGTCATCATGATTTGGCTGAATAAATAGATAGATAGATAGATAGATAGATAGATAGATAGATAGATAGATAGATAGATAGATAGATAGATAGATAGATAGATAGATAGATAGATAGATAGATAGATAGATAGATAGATAGATGATAGATAGATAGATAGATAGATAGATAGATAGATAGATAGATAGATAGATAGATAGATAGATGATAGATAGATAGATAGATAGATAGATAGATAGATAGATAGATAGATAGATGGCTTCCGGAACCAGGAAGGTAAAATAGCAAATTCTCGTTCCCGCAGAGCTGGGGCGATGGTGTTAGCTGGGAATGTGTGGCAGGGTAGTCAATGGGGGATTCTGGGATTTCCGGGGGGTGGGTGGGGGTGTTTATGATTGGGGTACAGTCTCCTCTCTGTTCTCTTTGCTGCAGCCCCCAGCCTCTAAAAAACAGAAAAAAGGGGGTCTCACCTCAAATGTTAAAACATCGGCACGACCCTCCGTTTTGTTTCGTACGCCTAAGATTTCCTGCAAAATGTATTGTTCTAGCACTGATGACGTTACCTAGTTGGGTCATGAAACGTCTGCAAGAAAACCACCAAGCTGAGAGAGCATTAAGGACCCCACAGTCCTCCTCCTCCTCCCTCTCCACAAACCCCCACTCCCTTCTAGCACTGATGATGTTACCTAGTTGGGTCATGAAACGTCTGCAAGAAAACCACCCAGCTCAGAGAGTGCCAAGGACCCCCCCCCCCAGTCCTCTTTTTCCTCCTCCCCCTTACTCCCTCTTTCTCAAGGTGAGAGAAACCTTGACTACTACAATGGATCGACCCAGTACTTTACGGACGTTCTTTTGGGGGTTCGAGTCTCTCGTGATTTACTTATGTTTATAAGAGAAAATAATTTCGAAGAAGAGGGGATTTACTAAATAAGGTGGGTGGGAAAGTTTCAGTGGACTCAAGTTTCGTTCATTTGGAACCGGGACCAAGACGGAGTTGGCAACCGCTTTGTGGCAGGTGTGGGTGTATTATGCCAAGAAGTTGGCATAACACAAGGCAAGGCCCCAGTCTCCCACACCTTCAAGGGCTCGTCTGCCTTGGAGGTCCACCCAGGCCCCTTTAAGAAATAACCACAATGGACAATTAATTACAACCCAGAATTTTGTTGGGATAAATGTCCATTAGTCATTAAAAAAAAAAAAAGAGGGCACACCGGAGAGGGTAGAAGTAGACTGGATGGTGGGGATTTTAATTTGATTGGTTGGTTACTATAAGGTTGTGTTATTCCGCCTATTCTTCATTTAGCTGACAGCCGTGGATTAACACTTCTCATTATGATGATTGTCTAGACACCATAGCCTATCCTTGGGCATTTATTTAAATAGCCTGATTGAGCTGAATGTTTGAGCATTAATACATTGGGTGTAAGGGAATTTACTGAATTGATTTGTAAGTAGGAGGTCTTTTTATCTGGGTCCCAGGTTTTAAGAAAGGCACCGAATAAAGACATGTACCTTTATTGTTTTACAGCTCAAAAATGAATATTGGACGGTTTGCTCCGTCCATCACCGTAACATCCCAACAAGCCACTCGCACATCGATTTGCTAAGAGCATCCATGCGCTCCCGGTGGTCCAGATGTGCCCAGTTGGTCATAAAAGATCCAGTAGTCCTCAAATTAACGACCATAATTTTGGTGGCAAGTCGTGATCCCCCATCTGATTTTTATGACTTTTTCTGCATCAACTCTGGCAAGTCAAACTGAATAACGTTCTGACAGGGCCTCGCGTAGCGATGGAAGATCCGATTGTGGGATGTTGCTTTATCACTGGAGGCTTTTGAGAAGAGATTGGACAACCCACTTGTCTGGAACGGAGTAGCGTCTCTCCTACTTGAGCAGGGGGTTGGACTAGATGACCTCCAAGGTCCCTCCAACTCTGTTACGCTGGTCCCAATTGTGCTCTTAAGTTGAGGACTGCTTGGATCCCTGCCTGGCCTATCCCAGCCCTGTTTGATTTCTTTTCCAAAATTCCAAAGTTTTCAGGAAAGGACACTTCCACCTACTTACCTTTCCCACCGTTGTTTAAAGCTCTAGAGATTTCGTCCACAAGTTTTCTCGCCCCCCCAAAAAACAGACAGGAAAACCCAGAGTTTTCACAGGTGGATTCCATTTATTATAAAAACGGTCCAGAAAATTAGTGTCACGATGCCTACAAAAACCTTTTGAGGATTTATATCATTGTTCTCTCAACCGAACAGAGCCTTAAATTTGATAGAAAACACAGTGAGAATCTAATACCCAAAAAATCCACGAGCGATTTTTTTTTTTAGAAAGAAATTTAGAAATTTCTTTTAGAAAAAAGACGGCATGTCGTGTTCTACCCATAGTTTTTAAGGCATTGTGGGTGAAATTCTCCAAATTTTTCACATCACTGACGAGGTATAGTTTTTCTGTTCTGTACCGTATTTTTTTTTTTTAAAAGGGAGCACCAGAAAGGAAGAATTTGATCCCCTTGTGACCGACAAACATTTTTTTAAAAAGCGGAGAGAAGAATGCTATAAACTCACCGATGGCTGCAAATAAATGTATATACAACTTACAAAGTTCAGAAGAATTGGGCAAGACTAACTGAAAATATACTTCCGGCAGGGCTTATAGTACAGATTCAGAAATTGGCTTAATGAAGAAAGAAATTAAAAAAAGATAGAAACGTATCAAGAGCCACCTGGGCGGAAGAGAAAAAAAAAAAGGAATAATTCCTGCTTCTAAAGCTTAGCAGATATGACGTGGCATGTTAACTGGGGGGGGGGGATTTTAAACAATGCATTCATGCATAGCAAGACGTGAAAGAAGATAGAAGCAACGTTATACATATCCATGGACAGGTGTTTTTTTTTCCCCAATAGGAAATTCAAGGTTTTTTAGCTGCACGGGGTCATATCCTGGTCCGGTATCCAAGCGTGAACCTCTCAAATCCATTAGTGTCATCACTGAAATTCAATTTGAATTCATGGCCCCTTTTTTCTTAAGACCATCGCATCCCCACTGTAAGGAAGAGCACAAGGCAAGAGTTTAGAAGAATGGCTGGTGTCCTTGACTTATAACCGTCCGTTTAGTGACCGAAGTAACAACGACACTGGAAAAAAGCGACTTGTGACCGGTTTTCGCACACGCAACCGTTGCAGCATTCCCCACGGTCACGTGATCACAATTCAAGTGCTTGGCAATTGGCACGTACTTATGGCGGTTGCAGTGTCCCGGTGTGTGTGTGTGTGTGACATGATCCCCTTTTGGGACCTTCAGACCAGCAAAGTCAAGGCAGCTTCCCTTAATAACCGGGTTACTAACTTAAAACAATGCAGCGATTCGTTTAACAACGGTGGTGAGAAAGGTCGTAAAATGGGGCAAAACTCACTCAGTGGCAGAAATTTTGGGCTCAATTGTGCTCGTAAGTCGAGGGCTTCCCTGTGGTGTGTAGCTCCTTTTTTAAAATTATTTTTTTTGCTGTGCTGGAAATGAAGACTTTTGTTGCAAAATCAATCCCCTTTTTGCATAATAATAGTGCCTGTGCTTTTAAATGAAGCGCTGCTCTAGCACATGGCAGGGATTTTAAGCTGGGATAGTTTTGGCTGCCTCGAGGGCACCTACGCAAAGCCGGTTCAACCGAGAGCAGGAAAAGAGAGACAGCTATTGTGGTGTGTGTGTGTGTGTTTTTTTGTTTTTTGTTTTGCCAATGTCCGTTCATAAAGGGCGTAATTTTGGAGTTTCCAGCCAGATCAGAAAAGCTGGAAGTGGCTGAGCGAAGGCAAGGAGAGGAATGCTTGAATGGAGACAGGAAGTCCAAAGAAGTAAATACGGGAGTCGTGGGATACCCTGTGAACTGACAAAACCATTGTGGCTTATGCTCTCATAGTTCACAGTCAGATTTATACACAGCAGATCTATTAAGAATTCAGCAGTGTTGTGTAGACTGGTTCCACAAGATCTATTGGTCCTGCGTGCAGAGCGGGAATGTGGCTATCACCGCGAAAAGGGTGATGCAGTGAAGAAGAAGAAAAAATTCTAGAAAAAAATAATCTTGGGTCTAGTTCAGCTGAATGATCTTCTCTGCTTTGGATCGGAGTTAGGAGAGGGGAGGGGAGGGGAGAGGGGAACAGAAAGGAGAAAGGAAGAGAAAGGAAAGAGGAGAGGAGAGGAAATAGGGAAAGGAAAGGAAATAGGGATAGGAAAATGGAAAGGAAAGGGAGGAAGGGAAATAGAGAAAGGAAAGGAAAGAGGAGAGGAAACGGAAAGGAAAGAGAGGAGAGGAGAGGAAGAGAAATAGGGAAAGGAAAGGAAAATGGAAAGAAAAGGAAATAGAGAGGAAAGGAAGGGAAGTGAAATAGAGAAAGGAAAGGAAAAGAAGAATGGGAAGGGGAAAAGGAAATAGAGAAAGGAAAGGAAAAGAGAATAGGAAAAGAGGAGAAAAGGGAAGGGATCTCAGCTCAGCTCATACAGAGAAAGTGACAAGCCAATATGATTCACCAGGAGACAGGATCTACTCAAACTATAGGGCAGTTCACTAAACCTCCATTGACCATAGCTACTGGAAACTTCCAACATGATGGTTACTCCAAAGAAGGTCTAAACTTCTGGCTAAGTTTCACATTCCAACCTGAAAGACCTGGTGTGTGTGTGTGTGTGTGTGTTCTGCAATGTTCTCCCTAGATGATGTCCCCCATCACCTCCCTTTGGCATTGGACCATGACTCAAGTCTGGTTGCTATGGCGATGCCAGACCTATTTGTCTTCTAAAACCCCACATATTGGTTATCGCAAGGCGCTGAGGGTTATTTTTCAACCTTTTGCAAAAACTCTGCTTGGCAGGAACCAGGCCGGGCATTAGCAAAAGCAACTTGAGATAACAGAGAAAATCATGTAAATGTTTGTCATCTCCTTTTTCTCGTTTTAAATGCTCTCCTGTGATTAATCCCAAGCGAAATAAATGAGTTATTAGCATCTAGTCTAGTGGGATTTCAACGATTGCTTCTGCTCAGAGCCCACTCCAGATGTTATCTGCCACAAACCGAAGATGAAGGAAAGTTAAAAGCGTCTCCTTTAAATTCTCTTTTCCTTTTTTGCAGTTTCCACACACACACACACACCCAGGGGGAGGAAGAAAAAAAAATCAGGATTTATGGGATGCGTTCCTCTTTCCAGAAAAAACAAAAACAAAAATGACATCCCATCATTTAGGAGCTATTTCTGCAGCACTGGCGGATTCAGAAGCTATGAACCACCGTGAGATAAACCTGGGTCAGGTTTTTGCAGTCTTAAGCAAAAGGGTGGGGGAAGAACGTGACCGAAATCTGCTCTCAAAGACAAATTAGGCATAAAGAAGTTTCCGTGTTGTTGCTGTTTCTGGCTTGTTCTTCTTCCAGCAGCCCAGGGCAGCCTCATTAATATACCTCCTCCCATTTAATTCCTTCCAGAACTTCCAAGGCTATGTAATGGCATGTGGGAACTGACCTTGCAAAACTGGGCCAGGCAGACAAGAGACCTGTCAGATAAGAGACTGCCTAGCCCACGGCTACCTAATGGGTGGGGAAAGAGACTTGGAAGGGACCCTCCCTAATTTCTTGGGATGTAAAGGAGAGAGCTGTAATGGTATGTGGGAAAAAGTTGGGGAGATGAGATGCTGCCTAGGGAATGATTAGATGATGGACAGCATAGCCTGGGCTTCATAATGGGTGGAGAAAGAGACTCAACAAGGGACCCTCCCTAGTTTCTCAAGGTGTATAGGAGGGGGCTATAATAATATGTGGGAAGACCCTGGAAGACGGGGCAGAAAAGGGCAGAAGAGAGGCTGCCAGCAGTCAGATAAGGGTCCGCTTACCCCACAGCTGGACAATGGGTGGGGCAAGAGACTCAACAAGGGACCCTCCCTAGAAAGAGTTCGACATATGCTCCCCCGATATTGCCATACACCCTTTCTGGAACCCTCTGACCTGTTTCTCTGTGACGGTTCCCTTGCCAGTCTATTCCCTGGCGAATGGGGTGTCGACCTGTTACCCACCCCGTTCTCCGAATCTTCCCTGGGAGGGATCAAAGAGTTCAACATTTCTCCTACGTCCCCTCCCCCTCTCTTATGCACAGGCAGTCCTCGACTTGCAACCGTTCGCTTAGTGACCTTTCCAAGTTACAACAGCACTGGGGAAAAAAGTGACATGGCCATTTTTCATAAGGCCACTGCAGCCTCCCCCAGGGTCACATGATCAAAACCCAGAGGCTTGGCAACTGATTCGTATTTACGACGGATGCAGCGTCCCCGGAGATCACGCGATCCCCTTTGGCGACCTTCTGACAAAGTCAACGGGGGAAGCCGGATTTGCTTTACGACCGTTGTTACTAACTAATCGACTGCAGTGTTCCGCTCAATGACTGTGGCAAGAAAGGTCTTAAAACGGGGCCAAATTGAACGGAACCACCGCCTCGCTTAGCAAGAGAAATTTTGGGCCCAGTTGCGGTCGTACGTTGAGGACCCCCTGCCTATTCAAACTGGCAAGATTCGGCCATGTAGCTTTGCAATAAAATAAGACGTCGTTCTGGAATCGAAAGCAGGAAATCGATGCGGTAAATTCAGTTGCAGATTGAAACCTCCTGCTTTTTTTTTTTAAAACCTCCATTCCTAATATTTCAGCTTTTGTAGCCAACAAAATTGGGCTATTCCCTCGTTCTCCCAGCAGCAGACAAATACCCCTCTTGGCTGCAACCAGGCGGGAAAGTTTGGCCGCCCCCTTAGACTGTGACTCAAGCCAAGTTTAGTTATGACACTTCCTGTCCCAGGAAAAGTTTCCATTCCGATCGCTCCAGTTTTGAAGTTTGAAAGAAGCAACTCTACGACTTAATTTTTCTTCCTTATTTTTTTTTTTTTTGCAGGAGCAGCCAAGCCGGGAAAAATAAAAAACCAGACCATGTGTACCGGGATATCTCATTTTCAAAAAATGTGGATCCCACAGAATTTTGGCGCGTTGATGTGTCTAGACTGGGAAGTCAATTTCTAAAAGTTTGCTTTGGAAAAGAAGTTTCTTTCTGTTAGAAAACAGGCCACTTCAGGAAGCAAAGGAAGGTTAAATGGCTTCTTCGGAATGCTTCCGCCCATCATCGGTTTGAAATAGACTGCCAGCCAATCGCCAGCAGCTTCCTGGGTGGAGCTATAAGTGGGAGGAGCTTGCGTTCCCAAATTTTAATTTTTTAATTTTCTATTCTCCCAGGGGGTGGGGAGGAAAAAAACCCAACTGTGCCCATGTTGGTTGAAGCCAACAGTCTCCCAGTCGAAAGCCGAAAGTCTTCTCCATCCTGGCTTGTTGATGTCAAATTCACCTATCATTTTTGGACATAAACAATGGCTATTTCAGGATATATTTAGTTTGGTTTCTCCTTGGAAACCACTTCTAGACTTTGTGCTCGAGGGAGGGAAAAAAATGAAATCTTGACTCTGGCATTTGCTGATTAGATGAATTTGTGGTTACAGAAAAGCTAGGATTTACCAAGTATGTAAAAGTAAAAAGTTGAGGCTGTAATTTTATTTTTTATTCTACTGCGCTGAAAAAATGTAGAAGTCAATGCCCTTTTTCTTCTTCTCTTTATCCTATACTTCTCCTCCCTTTCTTTCTTTCTTTCTTTCTTTCTTTCTTTCTTTCTTTCTTTCTTTCTTTCTTTCTCTTTCTTTTTTCTCTTTTTTTTTCTTCCTTCCTTCCTTCCTCTCTCTCTTTATCTTTCCTTCTTTCTCTTTCTCTCTTTTTCTTTTTCTTCTTTCCTTTCTTTCTTTCTCTCTCTCTCTCTCTTTCTTTCTCCTTTCCCTTTCTCCTTTCTCTGCTATCTTTATTTTTATTCGTGATTTATATTTTGATTGTAATGAAAAAAAAAGACATGACAATGACGATTGTGGTGTGTATAATATATGGCTTGGCACTGAGGCTAAGTCAGCAAACTATGTTAAAATGCAACACGGTTAAGAGAAATGTATAAACCCAGTGACTAGTTCCAGGGAATCCTGTTCTTCTGCTCCTGAATTATTTTGCAAATTACAGGATCATTAAAAAAAAAATGGGACTAATCCTTTGAATGAACTAGAATCATTGGAAGACAATCTAAGCCTTCTACTTCGACAATTACAGTACTTTTTGAAGTGGTGGGAAGTGGTGCTTTTACATCAATGTTACATTCTCTCAACCACAGAAACATTTTGGGTCCGTATTTACTTCAAACAAGGAAAGCAGAAAGCAAGGAAGGAAAAATAAATAAACTTCCTTCAATGTGGAAACTGTTACAAAGCCCGATGGTGGAACACAAGCCACAGGGCTTGAGGTTTTACATTTTAACAGGTCAGCAAAGCACAGCCGGTGCTCAAAACTGACCATTTAAAGAGCATCTAACATCTTACAAGCCTATATTTTTTCATTTCCACCTTTTAAAGAAAAAAACACCAATCTTCAGGCTGGATTCCTTCTTGCCAGCAAAGGTAAGATTCCTTCTTACCAGCAAAGGAGATCTACAGAATTTCACTGAATATGGAAGTTGGGTGTTTTGGCTTTGCTTGTGTGTGCGGACCGACTGCTGGCATGCCGCGGACCGGTACTGGTCCATGGACCGGGGATTGGGGACCCCTGCAACAGGGTATTGTTAGGCCACCCTCAGCCTCCCTTGCTGACTGCTGTTGCTCTCAATACTTCGAGGGATGGGAAGCTGATCTCTCTTTCATCTCTGCATCAACTCCAAATAAAATAAAATAAAATAAGCCTTTGTGTATTTGGGAAGCTCGAGAATGTAAAAGCCATACTTACCGTCAAAGATTTAGGAGACCTCCTCGTTACTCGTCCACAGGTTTGATCCTCATCTGGGCTTGCATGTGGGCGATCATCTCCTGCATACGACGCAACTGGATGGGGAGAGGGGGAGAGAAAAAGAGGGAAAATGCAGTGAGCCCAGTTAAACCCACCCCTTGAATTTTAGCTACCTTACCGAGGATGCCTCTTGAGGTGACCTGCCTAACGGCACAACCAGGAACCTTATTTTTATGACAAAAGACCCATTGCAAGCAGGGCCCACTTATTCAACAAACAGCAACAGCACTTAAGACTTATATACCGCTTTGTAGTGCCTCACAGCAGTGGTCCCCAACTTTTCCATCTTGGAGGCCTGGACGGGCATGCGTGGGGGGGCGTGAGTGGCAGGCACACATGCACGAGCACACAGCTCCACTGGTGCGAGCGGCGGGCACGTGCACCCTCCACTTTTTTCTTTTTATATATATATATATTATTTTTCAAACAGACAAAATACACAATACACAATACATTTTCCTTTTTCCTTAACAATACTATGTCCGAAATGGTATTTGTCCGAAATGGTATAGGGTTTCCTGCCTGAGCAGGGGGTTGGACTAGATGACCTCCAAGGTCCCTTCCAACTTTATCATCATTATTATTATTATGTCCTATATCTCTTACGTTTATTAATAATTATTTACATTACTTCTCTTACTTACAATACTGCATTCTAACCACTGTGCACTATGGAAGGAAGGAAGGAAGGAAGGAAGGGAGGGAGGGAGGGAGGGAGGGAGGGAGAGAGGAAAGGAAGGAAGGAAGGAAGGAAGGTAGAGCATTAGCACTTAGACTTCTATACCACTTCGCAGTGCTTTACAGCCCTCTCTAAGCAGTATACAGAGTCAGCCTCTTGCCCCTAACAATCTGGGTCCTCATTTTACCGACCTCAGAAGGATGGAAGGCTGAGTCAACCCTGAGTCGGTCAGGATCGAACTGCTGGCAGTGAACTAGCCTGCAATACTACATTCTAACCCGTGTGAAGGAAGGAAGGAAGGAAGGAAGGAAGGAAGGAAGGAAGGAAGGAAGGAAGGAAGGAAGGAAGGAAGGAAGGAAGGAAGGAAGGTAGAGCAATAGCATGTAGACTTATATACCGCTTCACAGTCCTTTACAGCCCTCTCTAAGCAGTTTACAGAGTCAGCTTATTGCCCCCAACAATCTGGATCCTCATTTTAGCGACCTTGGAAGGATGAAAGGCTGAGTCAACCTTGAGGCACAGTGGTTAGAATGCAGTCTTAATTATTTAACTGAATTAATCTTAAAATGAATTCTTTGTCGGTAAATTTAAATTTCACACGCACATCCCAAGAACTTCCATTCAGAAAACCAGCAAATAACGGGGAAGACATTCCCACGATGCTGCGACAGGCTATTTGGTATTCCAGGTATGTTTTAACTAGCCACTAATCTGGAGGCGTGTGGCCAAAACACACAACCGGCTACAAACTGCTTGCAATTATTACTGCCTTCCCTTCTCCCGTGGGAATCATTTTCTCCCATGGGATTTCTTTGGGTATTGCAGAAGCTACATTCTTCAAGTATGACCCACTGCTAGCTCCATGCTATTTATGGAGAGCAATTTTTTCTTTTTTCCATCCATTCTGGCCTTTACGGTAAACCGAACAAGGAAAGACTAGAAGAATTTTTTAATAAAAATAACCGCGGCAGGAAGGGGGGGGAAGGATGAAGAATTCCACCAAGAGCATGTCTGTATTACTATGAAAACATTAAAAAAGAAAAAAATCTAACTGGCTTCATAATTTATCCAAGGATGAATAGTAATTTCATTGCAGATTAAACAGCTCTATCCTTGTTCCTACTTCACTTCCTGCTTTATTCATGATTATCCACTGTCTTCTCCAAATTCCTGCATTATCTACATATTTAAGAGGCCCAGGGATTTAGCAGCCACCCAATTTGTACAACACCCTGCCCTCTTGTGGCTTTATAACTCTTGCATAATTTGGTTTTTTTTTTAATCAAACAAAATGCAATAAAAGCCAAATGATTAGCGGTAACACCATAAGGAACAAAACACAGGTAACCCTCGATTTACAACAGTTTGTTTAGTGACCGTTCAAAGACACAATGGCACTGAAAAAAGGGGACTTATGACCAACAAAAGTGCGTATAGTCAAGGCCATGGTTTTCCCAGTGGCAATGTATGGCTGTGAATGTTGGACCATAAGAAAGGCTGAGCGCCAAAGAATGGAGGCCTTTGAACTCTGGTGCTGGAGAAGACTCCTGCGAGTCCCCTGGACTGCAAGGCGATCCAACCGGTCAGTCCTAGAGGAGATCAACCCTGACTGCTCTTTAGAAGGCCAGATCCTGAAGTTGAAACTCAAGTACTTTGGCCACCTAATGAGAAGGAAGGA